GCCTAATAGCTGTTAATTAAAACGTAATTAAGTAGTGTTCAATATTCGTTAGTGTTCTAATTCAAAGCCGTGTTGTATCCCAATACAGCTCACACAGCAAACGGAATTCGAACACGTGGATGTCGGCATTACGTATCAGTTAAATGTGAAGCGCTGACGGAATACTGCTCACCAAGTGTCGAATATTGCCACACAAAGTGACGGAATGTAGGGATTTGGTAGGTTTCCATTCTAAAGGCTTTTTAATGAATATGGCAACATTTTGTGACGTTTCATTGTTGCCGACGCGTAGTGAGGTGTTTTGAGAGTCACATGAAGCCAACAGAACTTACGTAACGCATACGTTTTTTTTTTATAGTTTTTCATTTCTCGATGCGTCCTTAAAGTGTCGGAATATACCGCATTTACCCTAGTGACAAACCATGGACTTTTTAGAATCAGTTCATTTTTAATTTTCTCATTAACCTAAGATTTAAACCAATTTCTTATGTATGATAATGCAGGTATCCAGTTCCAGGATCCTACCTACTTTACTGGTCTAGGCTACATATAGGACTCAAAAATGAACTTGAGGGAGAGTCTAAAAAAACTCTCTGCTTTGCCACTATGGCCCACCATGCTTACATCATAGTGACAAACCAGAGATTTTTTAGAATCAGTTAATTTTTAATTTCCTTATTTACTAAAGATTGAAACCAAATTCTTATGTATTATAATGCTGGTATCCATGATACTTAGCTTGTGTACTTGTAGGACTCAAAAATGAACTTGAGGGAGAGTCTAAAAAACTCTCTGCTTTGCCACTATGTGCTTACTAGTTACTACTTACTAGTCTACTAGATACTAGTATAGCATGGTATACTGAGCTGAGTGAGCACTTAGCGTTAGCAAGTACCTAAACTGTATACTAGTACTGCATTACACAAGAGGGCAACGGCAAGTCCTAAATAGTTGGAACTTGGAAAGTTGAAACTAGGGTAAATTTACAGGCCTTCCATAAAAGAACAGCCTGAACTGAACAGGATAAAAAAACAACTTGTATTCCAACCATAGTGGCAAACCAGAGCTTTTTTAGAATCAGTTCATTTTTAATTTCCTCATTTACTCAAGATTTAAACCAATTTCTCAAGTATGATAAAACTGGTATCCATGATACTTTACTGGTCTACTTATAGGACTCAAAAATGAACTTGAGGGAGAGTCTAAAAAACTCTCTGCTTTGCCACTATGCATGATACTTTACTGGTCTACTTATAGGACTCAAAAATGAACTTGAGGGAGAGTCTAAAAAACTCTCTGCTTTGCCACTATGATTCCAACGCAAATAGAAATAATTTACTTTAACTAGCCTACCTATCCATTTGAAACAAGTGTAAATTAACAGCAAATGTTCTAGAGCTCCCAATTCAACTTACTACGAAGACTGAGTCACTGAGTACGAACCAACACCAACTGTGACCAAAACGAGACACGTGTAACAACCATGCATCGCACGCTTTATTCCCATTTCCCAGCACTTTTCCAAAATTGCTTTCCGCATTTTAAATTCTAAAACTCAGAATTTTTAGAAAACCAATATTAAACTTCAAATAAATATAAACCAATTCTTGCACAAAATTATTTATTTTTCAACAGTGATACATTCAAAATCATATTTAATATTCCCTACATATTCTATATTGGTGACAAAGTTTTGTAAATAATAAATTGTAATAATGACATTCAAAAAGTGTTCTATAATATGGTTTCTGGAATGGAATTAATTTGCTTGGTTCGAAATACCGTTTGAAGTATTCAGTTGACAGATTTATGTCTCATAGGCCACGATCTCATCATCCCAGTACCACGTCATGAACCACGAATTTTGTTGACGACTTTCAAGACTCATTCACGATTTTAGAACCGGTCCGACACTTCAGCGAACTCGCGTGCGAACTCGCCTGCGAGCTCGAATGGAAAACCTAACTTAATGTTCAACTCTGGCACGCATAACTCCGTCAATAATGGACGGATTTTCTTCAAATTTGAAATATAAGTAGATAATATCAGTACGCTGCGGAGGGTATTTTTTTCTCCGCAGCGTACTGATATTATCTACTTATATTTCAAATTTGAATAAAATCCTTTCATAATTGAAGGAGTTATGAGTGCCAGAGTTGAAAATGAAGTTCGAGCTCGCAGGCGAGTTCGCACGCGAGTTCGCTGAAGTGTCGAATCGGTGATTTTAGAATTGATCTGCCGAGTGCTCTGCGGCATAGTTCAATAGAATTGTCTGTACAATCTACTACTCGAAATTAATGCTGAAAGCAGATAGTTCCATAATTGTTGCGCCAGTTATGAGGGACATAAACGCTAGCGGGCTCATGAACGATTTCGGTTCAATTATTTTCTGTAGAAAAACAGTCTTCGCCAAGAGAACAGTAATATCTTAGGTCGATAAAATAATATATTATATTCATATTCAAGTACTACCACAAATCTGACCTATGTGAGTTTTTTTTTATGATGAGAGAGGCGAGATTAACGAAGTGGGGCATGAGAGAACAAGCGAAGAGTGGATGGATAGAATTACGGGTCTGTCTGAGGGAGCAACTGCGGCTATGTTTGACAGTGTGAAGAGATATTTGGAAAACGTGTGGAGGATGAGGGAGAGGCGGAGGATGATAAGAGTGGGGTCGTGAGGAATGGAGGGTTGAGAGAGGGGAGGGTGGGAAGACATGTGACCGTGCCGAATTGTTTTAGAACGTTGTTTTATTTTTTAGGTTGTTGCAAAACGAAACGAAATTGTTAAGCTTTTTTTTCTTAGGACTGCTGTGAATACGGTTTAACTGAACTTTTTTTGTTATGATACGAGTGTGAACTTTTAATTTTTTGATGCTATTAAAAGTTTTTAGGCAGCGTGTATGACCGATATAAAGGTCGTGACCGGAGGTCACCACGCATTTCAATTTCATGAATATTTAGACGTCTCGGACAAATTTACGGACGGACTTGCGGCCGTCAGTGTATCTGGAATATCTTCCAAAGTACTGAACGTATCTCGATGAAACTTGGTACACATATTCATTATGGCCTAACGGTGATGTCAAGCTAGTGACAATTTTTTTAATATCGCCTTCATTCGTGAGTTATATTTCGAAACAAGCCGAAATTTGCAGTGTACCGGCTATTTCTTCCAGAGTACTGAACAGATCTAAATGAAATTTTGAATATGAATGTCTGAATACTAAACGGTGATGTTTAGCGCGCGAAAATTTTTTACGTTTTGCCTTCGTTGGCGAGTATTTTTCTCTTTTCCCTCATTCGTGATTTAAACAGCAAAATAGTGCTCAAATTCGCAGTGTACCAGGGATTTCTTCTAAATTACTGAACAGATTCGAACGAAACTTTGCATATAGAAACCTAACCTCCCAACGGTGATGTTTAGCTCTTGACATTTTTTTTTTTATTTTGCCTTCGTTTGCGAGTTATACGGCTTTACGTATATGGCTCTTGGTCAATGCAAGTTCAAAAATCGGCCTGAGAAATGCCGGTCGTTTCTCCGTATATCCGAATAACTCGCAAACGAAGAAAAATCGAAAAAAATTGTCACGAGCTAGACATCACCGTTGGGAGGTTAGGTTTCTATATGAAAAGTTTAGTTCGAATCTGTTCAGTATTTTAGAAGAAATCTCTGGTACACTGCGAATTTAAGCACTATTTTGCTGTTTAAATCACGAATGAGGGAAAAGAGAAAAATACTCGCCAACGAAGGCAAAACGTAAAAAATTTTCACGAGCTAAACATCACCGTTTAGCATTCAGTATTCCCAAATCCCAACTTAACCGGGTTAAAATCTGGGCTAATTTTCGCAATCGTAGAGACCTACTCCGAACACAAAGTTTTACATTGTTTAAAAAAAATATCAATGCACTCGGTTATCAGGGCACGTTGCAAGTTTTTTGCCTAAAAATATAGTAGATACAAAGACACACGTCATAGAGTGTAATGGTAGAGTACATCAAAGCAGCGCCTTACTGAACGTTTCTGTATTATTACCAGTACACTTATCTTTGAATTATCTCATGCTGACAGTTCAATTGGTTCGGCTCACTATGTCAGTACAAATTTGACGTTGATCCTACAACCTGAGCTCTAGGCCTACCAACATTAATTTCTTTAGGCATAGATAAATTTATACTTCTAATTTTTGGCCGTTCAAATTTCATAACTTTAGGTGCAGCATTCAATGTGTCAACAATTTTCAAGTCGGACTTAAACGGCGACTACGCCAAATCACTAAGATTTGTTTTAGGAATTAATTCATAATAGTCTTATAAAAAACAATAGATTACAGGATTCCTTAGCCTGATTCGCGGTTCCAGGTTAGGGTCAGAAAAGTCGTAAAAAAACATAATCGTGCATCTGCTAAAATTGATTTTGTTTTAATTACGCACGACAACAAAGGCTCACCTCTGAATATAGAGCAGCATCATTATGACCGTTTCAACACACGACAGCGAAATAGTTTTTTTTTTATCTAAATAAGCGCATTTCATGTTCATTTCAGAAGGAGACAAAGACAGTACACAGACATCTCCGGAATACTTTTATATTAGTAACCGTAGTTGGCTTTGATAGCTTGGAAAGGCCGGAGCTCCTTCCTGGCCGCATGGACAGCCTTGGCTTTGAAGGCAGAGACATGCTTCTTGTGAATAACTGCCATCTTCTTCTTGATGAGACGGCGACGCTCCAGACGACGAATAACAGTTCTGTACTTCCAGCCAACTTCGTGGGCAACCTTGCCCAAATGGCAGAACTGAAACAAGAACAATGGTTCGGTTATTCAAGCAAAACTGATTTATGGCTAGGTTAGGTTATTCAAGCCAAAATGGACGTCTTGTATGAAAAAGATATCTTCCATTTGTTGAAATTTGCTCAAGTTTGAGTCCTCCTTTTCGATTGATCCATTAGACCTTTTGACTCAATTTTATTCATTCGTCAAGAAAGGGATTGTTCCAACAAATTATGGGTATATACGAGAAAATGTCTTCCATAAGAATTATCTTCTAGATCAATTTGACAGCAAATGTTTTATACCACTAATTTATCTGAAAAATCTATCAATCAGGAGAACGGCCGTGTTCCGTATCTAAAAATCTTCAGAATATTTCCAAGTCTACTTCTTATTAGTGATGAAATGGAGTCAACTATCCACCAACACGAGTATTATCTAGCCCACCTTGGCAGCAGGGTTTGAGCGCACAACCCTCATGACTTCAGGCACAACCAGCTTGCGGTGGGAAGCAAGGGATGAAGGAACTCCTTCGTAGGTTTTGAGCATGCACATTGCCTTGCGTCCCCGCTGTGTCTTCCACGGAACCATTCCTAAAAATAAGTAGAGTAGAAAATTAAACACAATTAAACAGCAACTTGATATTGGGTTATATTCAAACACTTCCAGCACTATACAGTGGAATAAATGTGTTATATGTACATTGAAACCTTAGTCGTCTTGTAAAACGTGAAAAAAGTAGGCTTTCTTTGGCAGCAGAATGTTATTATATATATATATATATATTATCAATTAATGCCTTCTGAATTATTCAACTCACCTCTGACACACTTGTAGAACATCTTGGCTGGAGACCTGAAGTGGAAGGGTCCACGCTTGGGGTTGACATTGCACCTCTTTTTTAGGTAGGACAAGAAGATGTGTTGATTGCGGTAGTAAGGACCAGAGCAGATGATTTGCTCACACCTCACAACAATGATGCGTTGCCCCAGCAGCAGCTGCTTGGCAACAAAGGCTGCCAGGCGACCCTTGAGGTGACCAGCTCCATCAAGGATGATGGGCTGAAAAGTAATAAAAAAAAAAGTTATGATTGATAGGTCTAAGTTTCATGTGAAATCAGAATTATCCGGTGAGCAATAAGTAACAAAAATATTCAATTCCTTCTCAGTCTTTGAATAATTTAACTACAAAATAACTCGGTTAATTGACGACCAAACCTAAAATAAACTCCTGGAACCAAGATCATTGTAAATGAATTGCTGGAGACTAATATGTTGACTAACAACCCTAGTTCAAACAATTCATAATTTTAAACTGTAATCAAGATCTCATAGTTTATTAAATGAAATTCTTTGAATAGTCATTTTGCTGGGTTTAAAAAAACACTGAATTCTCATTTTCAAGTATTTTGACCCATGACAAAATAAGCTGTAATCATATTTTATGCTCAATGATTTCACACTAATTTTCTAATGAGGACTAGATATCCTTTGAATTGCAAGTTTTCATGCTACAGGAGCTAATTGTATCGACTTATTGTAGGTTTTTTGCCTCTATTGCATGCTCAGTATTGTTTTAGCCCAGCAGCATGTGGCATGGGACAACCTTCCAGTATGCTTGGCCATGATCTTCAAGCTTAATTTTTAAAAAAGTACCATCTATGCCATTGAAATACCAAGCCACTAAAACAAAAACAATGAAGCTTGCAAACTATTTTTTCCAAAGATGTTTTATTGCCATTGGAATTTTACAGCAACCTGAGAACAGAAATAACTGCAGTTAAACTCATCTCTTTGAACACATTGCAGTCAAATAGGCACAGCCATTATACAACAATCAAAATGGGTCAAACTTGATTCATTAGAAAATGTGAGGTTCAATAGCAAAAATTCAATGCCCAAATCAGCTGCAACATGCAGGAATATTTGTGGGTATCTACAAAAATAACAATTTATGCAAAATATACAACAAAATAATCAAAATAGGAAAATGGTATTTATATTGTCTGACGGCCTGCAAACCTGTTTTCTAGTTGCCTAGAACATTTTTTTTTTCAAGGCAGGATGCTTTTTTTCTAAGTGAACCACTAATCATAGAATTCCATCCTGTTTCTGTTTGTAAATAATAAGTTCACAGCTTTGAAATGGCTTTTCACAGCCAAGATATGGAATTCATGGCTGAAAGAAATAGAATCAAGGATGGCAAACCCATAAAACCACGACTCAAAAAATCCAGTCGTGGCTTACCAAGAAGATAGGGTAAACACACCATATTCCCACACCTTAAGGACGTAGCAAAAAATAAATGGCTATAAATAGATTACCGTATGCGCAATTCAAGTTCTGTTTGGTTTATGTCACTCAAAACACCACACTTTGCACCAGCAATGATGAAATGTCACTAACTGTTGCCAATTTATTTAAAAGCCCTTAGAATTCAAATCTACAAAATCGCTGAATTCTGACACATGTGTGACTAAATGCAGCATATTATGAGACTAATTCAAACAGCGCTTCAAAATTGTAATTCCAAGACCCTTTGTTGGAATTCCGACACCATGTCGGAATTAGTTCTTATTTGTCTAAAACCATCTCTTAAATTGATCATCTATTAATTTATTTACCACTTACAATCAGCAAATACAAGTAGGGTAAACGCAGTATATTCCAACACATTAAGGACGCATTGAATAAAAATAACTGTATGCGTTACTCGAGTTCTGTTTGCTTTATAGATATGGAATTCATGGCTGAAAGAAATAGAATCAAGGATGGCAAACCCATAAAACCATGACTCAAAAAATCCAGTCGTGGCTTGCCAAGAAGATAGGGTAAACACACCATATTCCCACACCTTAAGGACGTAGCAACAAATAAATGGCTATAAATAAATCACCGTATGCGCAACTCGAGTTCTGATTTGTTCAGAACACCACACGTTGAACACCACACTCAGAACACCACACTTTGTGCCAGGAATGATGAAACGTCACACACTGCTGCTACATTTATTTAAAAGCCCTTAGAATTCAAATCTACAAAATTGCTGAATTCTGACACATGTGTGACTAAACGCAGCATATTATGAGACTAATTCCATAAGTGCTTCAAATCGTAATTTGTAATTCCGACACCCTGTGTTGGAATTCTGACACCCTGTGTGAGCTGTGCCAGAATATAACACACGGCTGTGTGTCATAATTCTGACACCATGTCGGAATTTATTTTTATGTGTCTAAAACCATCTCTTAAATTGATCATCTATTAATTTATTTACCACTTAAAATCAGCAAATACAAGTATACTTAAGTACCAGAATGGAAACTGGAATTCTAATTTCAAAGGTTCATATAATATTTCGATCCACCAAGACCACTTTTCTCACCCCAACATCATTATTTAAGGCAAAAAATGAACTTCTTAACACGCTGACTACGATTGCTTCATCTTGTACTATTATTTCATTTTTTGTACCGCTTTTAAACAGGGTTGCCAGATGGTAATTTGACAAATTCCGTGATTTAGGTTTTCTCAATTGCATTGGCTGGCTAAAATTTATGATGGGGTACTTCCTAATTAAATTTTTAATACTGCAAAAAGAAAATGAATGGAATTTTTGTACTGGAACCTACAAATAAACTAGTATATTTTGAATTATTGGCTTTTTTGTTTTCGGATTTGGCCAATTTTAGGCAACCTGAATCATGTACCAGTACGTCCTGGAGAAATACATTTCGTAGTACGCATATGTACCACTTCGTAGTCAACATGTTAAAGCAGGATGGAATTCTAAAATTTACAGTTCATATATTATTCCCAATACACCTAGACCAGTTTTTTGATACAACATTATTTGAGGCAAAAAAATAAACTTCTTATAGGCTTAAACACGTATAGGTAAAGGTATAAAAAGTTTCTATAAAGTAATCACTTTTACTAAATCAAATTTTATTATTTAATACACTAGATGGTACAAGCTGTAGAATTAAATTCTATTAGAAAAATGTTGAATTAAAAATCTGATTATATTTTTTAAATTAAAAATTAATTTTTATTAAATTAATTTGTATTATTAATGCACTATATGGTACATGCTCTATGTTTCATATAATGAAATAGTTTCCCATTTTAAACAACGAACATTTTCTAAAAGAGACAAAACGTTCAAAAACTCAATGGCAGACAAAATTCAGAATTTGAAGTGCATTTTCTAAGATAAATTCAACATAATAGGGCAAAAAATTGAAAAATTAAGATCTGGAATGTATAAATGGGTTTTTATAATTTAAAAAAACTTTCAATCATTTAAATCTCAGTATGGAATGTGAATCAAACTGGACACAACCAAAACAAAAGTGTGCTTGACACCGCTTTGTCATGTGTAAACGTAGAAGCACGATGTGAATGTACATACGAACGCAGTGAAAAAGTGGCAGTTTATCTCATAATTTTGTGTGATATCAAAAACTTTGTTGGTATTGTCCAATCATGAGAATTTTTGCAAATGTGGATGTGTTTATTTTTATTTTAGAACATATTCATTGCAAAAATTTGTCCACTACCCTACAGAAAGATGACTAGTTAACTTGGATTGAGGCGTTGCCAACACGGGATTGGATGTAAAACTATGCGTGATTTCGGAAGCGCAGCAGTTTCTAATGAGCTCAGTTTTTCAATTTTCACTGGAGAGGAAACTGGAAAGTGGTGTAGGGTAAACGCAGTATATTCCGACACCTCTCTAGTTTTTCCTATATATTAAGCTTTGTCTTAGTTCCACGCATTTGTTGATGGTTGAAATAGTGACGTCATACATTTGCGCGCCTAACTATTGCCAAAACACTAGGTCTGGGCCATCTGGCGGGAAAATGTTGAGATCCAAAGAGAGACAGTGCGCGTCACCCAGTGAGAACATCGAAAAATGTGTCGAAGTTGATAGTTGACCTTGCTCTACCAAATATTGATAAACTGTTTGTGTAGAAAGAATATTATGATTTGAGACTTTTAAACAAGTCTGTAAATATATTAGGAATCCTTTAAGTATACTTGTTTTTGCTGATTTCAAGTGATAAATAAATTAATAGATGGATCAAGTAGAGAAACGGATTTAGACACATAAAAACTAATTCCGACACAACTTAAATTAGACACAGCTCATTCCAAGCTGTCTGCAAAAATAAAAATTTTCTTAATTAAAAGCTTAATAGCTGTCAATTAAAAGCCTAATTAAGTAGTGTTCAATATTCAATAGTGTTCTAATTCAAAGCCGTGTCATATTCCAATACAGCTCACACAGCAATCGGAATTCAAACACAAGGATGTCAGAATTACGTATCAGTTGTTATAAGCGCGGCCGGAATTTGTCTCACCACATGCCGAATTTAGTCACACACAGCGTCGGAATATAGGGATTTGGTAGGTTTGCATTCTAAAGGCTTTTAAATAAATATGGCAACAGTTTGTGATGTTTCATCATTGCTGGCGCGTAGTGCGGTGTTTTGAGTCACGTAAAGCAAACAGAACTCGAGTAACGCATAGTTATTTTTTATAGTTTTTCATTTCTTGATGCGTCCTTAATGTGTCGGAATATACCGCTTTTACCCTAATGTGGTAGGGTAGGTTTTTCGATACATTTTCTTATGTTAACATGAGAATATATTACCTATACAGAATTCCATACTGCGTTAAAGCCTTCAAGTTAAAGGAATCCTAATATATTCACAGACTTATTTAAAAGTCTCAAACCATAATATTCTTTCTACACAAACAGTTCATCACTATTTGGTAGAGCAAGGTCAACTATCAACTTTCACACGTTTCGATGTTGAATGTTCTCACTTGGTGACGTGTACTTTTGCTCTGCGGATCTTAAAATTTTCCCACGGTCCCACTAGGTTTTGGTTTTGCGGAAATATTGCGTGCAATAGTATGAGTGTATGAAGTCACAATTTCAACCATCTAGCTACGCATGCGTGGAACTAAGACAAAGCTTAAACAAAAGCAAAAAGTTGATAAGTGTCGGAATCAGGGTGGAATTCTAGAAATGGAGGTTCACTTATAAAAAAGCTTTCCACCCAAGGTGGGATGCTTTCCTTAGCTACAGTGCTCTGCCAGGTGACTGACTAGGGTAAACGCGGTATATTCCGACATCGTAGGTAATTCAGTCACCTCTCCAGCTTTTCCTTTATATTAAGCTTTGTTTTAGTTCCATGCGTTTGTTGATGGTTGAAATGGTGTAAATTATTTTAAGTAAATACAAATGCTTATCCTTCGACAATAAATTCACCGGTTCTTTAGAGAGCTCAAATAACACACGTGCTTTCGCCGTGAACGCAACTGACTTTCTCCCATCATGAACCATGCTTCGCAGTTCGCACGCTGTATTCCCAGTAATTTTCCAAAATTGCTTTCCGCATTTTCAATTCTAAAACTCAGAATTTTTGTATCACCAATATTAAATTTCAAATATTTATAAACTGTATTATTTAAACCATGATATAAACCAATTATCGCACAAAATTATGAATTCTTCAACAAAGATACATCCAAAATCATATCTAATATTCCTTACAGTTACATATCATAAAAACTGAAATTGATAGTAAATATCTACCAATTCTATATTGGTTACAGAGTTTTGTAAATAATAAATTGTAATAATGACATTCAAAAAGTGTTCTATAATATGGTTTCTGGAATGGAATTAATTTGCTTGGTTCGAAATACCGTTTGAAGTATTCAGTTGACAGATTTATGTCTCATAGGCCACGATCTCATCATCCCAGTACCACGTCATGAACCACGAATTTTGTTGACGACTTTCAAGACTCATTCGCAATTTTAGAATTGATCTGCCGAGTGCGCTGCGGCATAGTTCAATAGAATTGTCTGTGTAATCTACTACTCGAGACTTATGCTGAAGGTAGGTAGTTCCATAATTGTTGCGCCAGTCATGAGGGACATAAACTCTACTTAGCGGGCTCATTAACGATTACGGTTCAAGTATTTTCTGCTGAAAACAGGCCCATCGCTAAGAGAACAGCAATATCTTTTTTGATGAGACCGATAAAATAATGAATTATGATCATATTCAAGTACTACCACAAATCTGTGACTTATATGATATATTAGTGAAACGCGTCACGAGCTAGACATTACGCGGAGACTGTAACGAACTCCAAAGGCACTCCCAACTTTACCGGGTTATAATCTGGACTAATTATCGCAAGCTAAGAGAAATACTCCGAACACAATATTTAAAACTACTCAATTAATGATGCTGCATTGTTGTTCAAAACAAAAATAATCGATGCACTCTGTAATCAGGGCACGTTGCAAGTTTACCTAAATATTGAGGGAATACCAAAACACTACGTCATAGAGTGCTATGGCCGAGTACAACAATACAGTGCCTTTCTATATTACCAGTACACCTAGCTTCTAACAATCTCATGCCGACAGTTCAACTCCGTCAGCTCACATTGTCAATATCAATTTGACGTTGATCCTACAACCTAAGCTCTGGGCTTACCAAAATAATTTGGCATTGATAAATTTTTACTTCACATTCTTGGCCGATCAAATATTATAATTTTCAATGCATCATTCAGTCAAAAATTTTCAAGTCAGACTTAAACGGCAAATCCGTCTTATCACTCAAGATTTGTTTCAGGAACTAATTCATATTAGTCGTATAAGAAAACAATGGATTACAAGATTCATTAGCCTGATTCGCGGTTCCAGGTTATGATCAGTAAAGTTAAAAAAACAAAAATAACAATCGTCAACAAATGCTCTCCTTTGAATATAGCGCAGCCCATTATGACCGTTTTAATAAACGACAGAGAAATGCGTTTTTTTTTCTATCAAAATATACGTATTTTATGTTGATTTCATAAGGAAACACAAACAATACACAGCCATCTCCGGACTACTTTTATTTTAGTAACCGTAGTTGGCTTTGATGGCTTGGAAAGGCCTGAGGTCCTTCCTGGCCGCATGGACAGCCTTGGCTTTGAAGGCAGAGACATGCTTCTTGTGAATAACTGCCATCTTCTTCTTGATGAGACGGCGACGCTCCAGACGACGAATAACAGTTCTGTACTTCCAGCCAACTTCGTGGGCAACCTTGCCCAAATGGCAGAACTGAAACAAGAACAATGGTTCGGTTATTCAAGCAAAACTGATTTATGGCTAGGTTAGGTTATTCAAGCCAAAATGGACGTCTTGTATGAAAAAGATATCTTCCATTTGTTGAAATTTGCTCAAGTTTGAGTCCTCCTTTTCGATTGATCCATTAGACCTTTTGACTCAATTTTATTCATTCGTCAAGAAAGGGATTGTTCCAACAAATTATGGGTATATACGAGAAAATGTCTTCCATAAGAATTATCTTCTAGATCAATTTGACAGCAAATGTTTTATACCACTAATTTATCTGAAAAATCTATCAATCAGGAGAACGGCCGTGTTCCGTATCTAAAAATCTTCAGAATATTTCCAAGTCTACTTCTTATTAGTGATGAAATGGAGTCAACTATCCACCAACACGAGTATTATCTAGCCCACCTTGGCAGCAGGGTTTGAGCGCACAACCCTCATGACTTCAGGCACAACCAGCTTGCGGTGGGAAGCAAGGGATGAAGGAACTCCTTCGTAGGTTTTGAGCATGCACATTGCCTTGCGTCCCCGCTGTGTCTTCCACGGAACCATTCCTAAAAATAAGTAGAGTAGAAAATTAAACACAATTAAACAGCAACTTGATATTGGGTTATATTCAAACACTTCCAGCACTATACAGTGGAATAAATGTGTTATATGTACATTGAAACCTTAGTCGTCTTGTAAAACGTGAAAAAAGTAGGCTTTCTTTGGCAGCAGAATGTTATTATATATATATATATATATTATCAATTAATGCCTTCTGAATTATTCAACTCACCTCTGACACACTTGTAGAACATCTTGGCTGGAGACCTGAAGTGGAAGGGTCCACGCTTGGGGTTGACATTGCACCTCTTTTTTAGGTAGGACAAGAAGATGTGTTGATTGCGGTAGTAAGGACCAGAGCAGATGATTTGCTCACACCTCACAACAATGATGCGTTGCCCCAGCAGCAGCTGCTTGGCAACAAAGGCTGCCAGGCGACCCTTGAGGTGACCAGCTCCATCAAGGATGATGGGCTGAAAA